CCCACGCACGGGATTACTGTGTGGTGGATGTCCTCCCCTGGGTGGGATGGGTGGGTATTGGCCCTGAAAAGCCCCTATGGGGAGTGGTCAATTAAGATGTATGTATGTATGCATATTATGTGATGCTGACTGCACACTGCACTTTGAAGCCGGGAAGTGGTGTAAAGTTTGATTAAGCCGGCATCGAAGCCCTTCTGCTCTAAACATGAATTTAAGACTTGTGATTAATTAAAACAACGTATATAAATACAAGACTCGTAACTAAGTAAAACTGGAAATCAAGAACGTGGTGTTTGTTTTAGAATAGTAAATAAAAAGCATGCCATTACAATAACACGAGTGCTTCAAAAATTATTGTTGGTCTACAAGCAGATCACATCATTGAAATCGTTAAGAAGGGAAGGGGCGTCAAGTTCGACTCAGCTCCGAAGCTCTTCTGCACTCACGTGAATACATGACTAAGTAGAAAGTAATGTTTATTTTGGGATATTTTATAAAGGCACACTCCTCCAGTAAAATAAGTCCTTGGAATGGTCACAGGTCTACAAACAGATTGCACCATTACTTAACAAGATGACTAGGAGATTTGCTAGCCCGGTCCTCTAAGATCTACAACAATCAAAGAAGAGATAAATTGGTAAAAAAAATCGTTTTGTAGATTGCAGTTTTTCTCCACCGAACTTAGAACAATTTCTTCTCAGGAATGCACCGCAAGCGGCAAGCGTTGCGGTTTCATCTATCTTAAATTAATTTCAGACACTATTACCTATTAATAATCACATTTAAACACCGCCACGCTGTCTATCAGAATTAAAAACCTATCACTAGCAATTAAGCAGCCTGTTTGATCTAAAAGCCGCAAAATATCAGGATCAGGGGCGTATCCGCGGGGTAGTGAGATGTGATACTTGAAAAAAAAACTGTCCACCCACGTGACTTAAGCGAAATTCTTTCGAACGAAAAAGTGTTGTCAATACACTACAAGTTCTACAAAAATAGTTTAAAGATACTGCAATTATTTTTTCCTTTAGCAAGCTAGAAATAAATTCCCATACGAGAAAATCGACCAGCTTGAGTGAAAAAGGCTTCACTTTCCTCTTTTAACAACACCTTCTTTCTGAATCGTGCATTCAATGCATGGGTAGTAACGCGCCTGAAATATTTCATTACGTCAAATCAAACCTATTTACATAAACCTACTTGTTCATAATTCAGACTCTTTTCACTTCAGCTGATTACTAAAAGTTCTAAAGAATAAAGAACCTTATCCCACGGAAATCGTAAATTCGTCTTATCCTCTCCCTTGTGACGTGTGTACAGAAATAACCTCATTTATTAGACCCATGACTGTTTGTCAAGCATTACACGAGGTCCAAAACACGCCACACTGAAATAAATCTCGCAAAATAGCCAGACGGCGGTCCATATTTTACACCTTTCGGTAGAACAAAACGAGCAATAAAACAAATGTGATTCTCGGCGGATAGTTAAATCATTCGTCAAAGACGTATTACTTTTATTAAAAGTTCCTGATGTTTTAGCCGGAAATAAGCCATTTAGAGTGCTAATAAAAGACTTGTGTAATCTTAAAAAAAAAAAAAAAAGGCCAGAACCCAGTTGTAAAAAGGCGGTTAACGCTATCCAACGGATAAATAACTACGCGGCGAATAAGTGATAGTAGAAAGTATAGCGTTACCTACCGGATAGAGTTTTATCCAGTGCGTTATCCAGCCTTTGAACAACCGAAGCCAGAAGAAAAAAATTATTCATAGACAAAAGCATTATCTCGTCTTGCTATTGATAACCTTAAACAAAAAACCCGAACGGAAAAAATGTCATCTTCTTCTTATTAAGAACTTTAGTCTGCTTTTCTGTTTCAATAAGCGTAAAAGATCAACCATATAAATTATGGTCAAGGTACGCGAGCTTAAGCCAATTAAACACGGAAAGTGAGGATGGCTGACAACATCCTCGGTGTTAACACTGTAACGTCCGTAGTTTCGACGCCAGTTTGTATGCTTCAGTAGTGCTATCCGATCTGTCTGCTACTACAGATATCGTACCCGACTGGTTAATAAACAGAGGAAATTATATTTACCCCGGGCACTTGCTTGAAGCAATATATTACCACGTTACGCAATGCATTCTTAGACAAGATACCGTAACACTTCACAGATTGTAATTCTCTAGACTAAGGGCGTGAAGCTTCGCTTTACTATGTCTGTACCAAAGGCAACTTGTTTTGATCGAGCCCCAATCAACAAAAAAGGGCAAGGGAATCGAGCCCAATCGCGGGTATTCTTATGAACAATACACACAGGTTTTTGTCAAAGCCTCTTCTTTCTTTATTGAAATATGTGACGCGCTACTGAGCCTTTTTCTTTGGAGACTGAGGACGCAGTCTCGCTTTCACTCCACTCAGCTGGTGCTCTTTTCCCCTGCTGCTGGAACTGCTTGCTGGTTTGGAGTCTGAACAAACCGCAAGTTTCACAGTAAATTATTACGTAGACCTAACTGCGATAGGCCTCGTTCTTTAGTGTCTATGAGACAGGCCGGCCACTTGCTATGCTTGTGCATGGATGATATGGGCGAGAGAAATCTTGTTAACTCTTTACAATGTTTCAGAGCTCCTTCTATCTGAGGACATGCTGCCGAACAAAACGCGTTAAGAAATTTCCTTATTGAAGAACTGAACAACCACGCTTTGCTAGTTTAATCTCTGATTCCTACATAAGACAATTTTGCATAGTATGATTTGATTAATGTTATCGACTGTCTGGGATGGCGGAACCAACCCCTTTATTTGAACAACAACAAAAAAATAAATAACTGAGAATCTCCGAGACCTCCCTTTTGACACTTTTCAAGCGACCATGGTCTGCATCTCCCAAATACGGCGATACTTTTAGTTTCCGCTGTCCCATCACGCACTCGACTTTTGCTCAGCTCGGGAACATTTTCTTCGGGGATACGCATGTTTGAGTCAGAAGCTCAAGACTAGAACCAAACTTTATTTTGTTAGTAATTTAACCAGTATGATTACTGTCACCGTCGTTGAAACTACTGTTTATTTATTTCTTTACATAAGGAGATCACCCAGTTCTCCGTCATTTCTTCTTAACATAATAAGATCTGTGATTCACCTAACAAAATCATGCTTCGGCAAATGTGTTAATTCATCATTTGTCAAGAATTAATTGAAATAGCTGCATTAAGTGGAGCTGATAGCAATCATCAATTTACCACCATGTTTCCTGTTTTTCTTTTTACACTAGATTTATTACCCCTCCAAACGCGCGCCTTGATAGGCTGTGTAAACATTTCAGACCAGCTATATAAACATGAGCCGGTAGATGCTTGCAGGATGATTTTTTACCCTCAACAAAATTAGATTGTTTAAGACTTCAAATATATCCCGGCATTGTTATTCTAAAGTTCAGCAAACCCTTTTCACTAAAAAATTAACGCTACCAACCTTTGCAGACACTTAAAGTAACTATAAACATCGATATCATTTATATGTTATACCTAAGTTTATGTTCAATGTTACAGTTGCATTTTGATTATAAACCCCATCGTGAAAGATTGCTATCCCTGGCATTCCCACGGCCAGACAAACACCACCACCTCCTCAGATTACCCCCAGCTACATAAGCACCTTATGAAGTAATTTTTCACGAGCTTATAGGCTAATTCTTTTCAATAACATAGAGGTCATTGCCCTACCAATAAAATTCCATAGCTGATACAGTGTAATCAATGTTCTTTTTTTTAAAGATGAGCTTCACATAGATGGCCTTATTCAAGACGCGCTCGCACAAAACTTCATCTTCCACGAAACGTGACATCTGTTTTCTTGTATATCGTAAAACAGTTAAAAATGTCCACCATCTTAGGTAATGGCAATGACATTTTCATTTTGTTCAACGCCATTATCTCTAGGTAACAGGTAAACTTACAAAGTTACGCTTTTGTGATCATTCTCAGACAGTTCTAACTTTTTTTCTTCATCCAATTCGCTTGACAGTTTTGATTCCTCTAAAACTTGGTAAAAAGAAAGATTATACGATAATCTCTCTTAGAGGGAGTATTAATGCACACCAGATCAGACAAATGCTACAACCATAGGCGTACGAGCCGGGGGGGGGGGCGTGGGAGGGGGCTGCAGCCCCCCTAGCTGCGGAAATTATGTAATTTTTCGGGCAAAACGCTCTTGATTCGGGAAATGACACTTGGGAGAAAACATTATAAAGTAATGCTGTTGGCGTGATTTCCAAAAGTCGTAAATAAAGTTTCTAGTTAATTACTTTTCACGTGAATAAAGGCTGATAGTTTCGAAAGAAACTAGTTGGGGCTGCGTCGGTGGGGGTAACGAAATAATTTGGATATATCAACACAGTTGAAATGGCAAATTGGCCACCGTAACGATTACAAAAGCTGACGTTTCGAGCTTTAGCCCTTCGTCGGAGCTTTTCAGGTGATTAGATGCCCGAAAGTGGTGTCTTCGGAGACTTCGTAATTTGAATAATATCGTGTAAAATGTGAAGTGTATCGTTTCGCTAACATCTGCTACAGCTCGTGCCTAATTTTCGGACAACGCCATGGAAGGAAGAACTTTTTCTTTGAATACGTTTTAGATAAAATTGAGACTGTTCATAGAATTATGTAAGCAAACTTTCAATTGAGCTATTTTTCCAATGATAGCAGTTTTATTAGATGGGAAAATGGTGAACGTCTGCGTTTGCATCCCGATTTCAACCCTTACCCTTTCGGGCATTGCGTAGTTTTTTCGGGCAAGGAAGTCACCGCCCCCCTGAGTCCAAAGGTGCCCGTACGCCTATGGCTACAACGTAAAATAAATTTATACTGCGCTTGTCAATAACTCACCACTAGTAAAGTTTAAAACTCAGAACTCCATTAATCATAATAGCAGGAAATCAACAGACAAAGTTGGTTAAAATCCGCTGAACAGTTCAAAGCTATGTGACTTTTTTGTCCAATTGACAGCGAAGTAAGAGTCTTTTACTTCAATGCATTTCAACTTAATGTCAATGTTAAGCACATTGACTAAATAGGCAGCAAACAACTATAAATACTGTACAAACATTTTCGTTACATTTTCTCGTAGTGTGGCGTGAAATTTCCTACGACCTCTTTCCCAAGCTTTGTAGTCCATGTAGGTTTTCCTTTGATCCTTGCTACCATTGTTGCTCTTGGTAAAAATTGAATGCAAAACATTTTCATTTTTTTCAGATCTGAATAACTCTGATTCGTTAATATACAGTATTCACATTACATACCTCATCAGTAAATCTGAAATATATTTGATATAATATACAGAATACCCTTTCTTTCAAGAAATATATCTTTTCTGGAAACAGTGAAAAAGAAGAGCCACCTCATGGAATATCCACTGCTACATGGTAAATTCCCATTATTGTTGTTATTATTATTATTATTATTATTATTATTATTATTATTATTATAATTACAACTATTATTTTCATAATTATTAGTTTTGTGAATATGAGATTGAACCTTTCATTTACATTCAAGAAAAAGAAATAAAAACAAAAATAAAAAACAAAACTTCATGGCTTTTGTTAAAGCTCATTCGGCCTCTTCACTCTGAAGATCTAAATTTCAATTCTCTGCACTGTCAACCGTTTCTTTTTGTTAATATCATTTGAGATCGGAGAATTTAGTGTTCATAAAGTCAAACAGTATTCCCTGTTGATATTTTTCTCTCTTCTCATCACCCTTCTGCTTGGAAATTTAGAGTCACTGAAATGAGAAATTCCTTTATGATCACTCCTGAGAGTGAAGATTTACGTTATGTGATGTCTTTCTGTCGAGGTGGTCGTTCCAGATTTCGTTTTACTGATTGTACAAGCCATTCAATTCCAGTGCCTAACCCATCTCTATAAAACAGAAAGGAAAAGAGAAAGAAAAAAGTATAATATTAGGGACTGGTTATTATTTATTGCCTGGGTAAAGGATTTTGGTTGTGTCATGATAAAATTTACCTCATCCCCTCAAAAAGCTCTGTGACTCTTATGATCCCCCCCTCCTTAATAGCAGTTACTTGGAAGTCAATTTTCTATTGTCCCCCCTTTATACCATGTTGGCAATGACTGATACCCCCTCCATTCCCCTGAAATCCATGTGATCCCCAAAATCCTCCCCCCTTCCCAAGCAATAAATAATGACTAGTCTCTTACTTTAAATGGTTATCGTGGACAAAGGTATAAAGGTGGAAGTGCTGTATGGTATTATGATTTATTTAGATATTACAAAGATAACTGTGCCACTCGTAGCGTAATTATCACAGAGTAAAACTGTTATCAACATTAGAATAACATGCTGTGATATCAACCAAATAAATTATGTGGGATATGTTGCATCTTCACAAAGAATTTTTTTGAAAGGAGAAATTTATTTGAATCCAAGCATCATAAAGTGTATCTAAATAACTTGCAAACTTCTCAACAGCAACAGCAGTTAACTGTTTAAATATGCAGACATAAAGAGGTAAGAAAATTTTGAAAGGAAAGGAAATGTGCAGGTGTATCTTATTAAAAGCCTCTAAGTATATTGTTGTCGATGATTCCATGATGTCCTAAAAACAAAGGCTCCCGACAAACCCTTTGTAAAACAAGATTTATGTAGTGAAAACAGGAAGTCCGTGTGCATATATTATACCCAGTGGGTCAATATACATGTTCTGTAAAGAGCCAGATAAGTTTTATGCCCAATAGTATGTTGTGCCAATTTTTTTGTGAGTGCTCCAGTTTTAAAGCAGCTTTAACAGATCTGAAATAACCTATCACATTATTTTCCTGTGGCATATAGTATGTCCAATAATCCCAGACGGTTAGAAATTTACACAGCACAATAAACAATTCTGTACTGTCTAGAATATTTCTATCATAAAGAAACCTGGCCCCTCAGGTTTTAAGATGGCATTTAATACAGCTATGTGGTTTTTTATTGGGCAAATGACAAATTGTGGTGTGGTATAATGAAGGCAGCTACAGGTACAAAAAGAATGTTTTTTTTTTCACAATATAATTCCAGCTTACTAGGCATTGTGTTTTTGATCACCAAATTGGATATGTCCGATGACGTGAACAACCTTGAGGAATGGAGGAACTATAACATGTCTATAATAATCCTGTGTGTGTCCCATATGTTCAGTACTTGATCAAATGTGTCATTTAGAAGTATAGGCAGAAGATAAAATGTTAAGATATGAACTGAGTTAATGCTTAAATACAATCATATGAGCACCATTTCATCAAAAACATAAAATGGAGTGTTATGTTAAATGTTATCTGTTGTGTTATCTCTGTGATAATTACGCTACGAGTGGCACAGTTATCTTTATAATATCTACATAAATCATAATACCATACAGCACTTCCACCTTTATACCTTTGTCCATGATTATCTGTTATCTGTGTGATATCTGTCAAGTGAAATGTTATCTGTTGTGCAACATATAACATTTCTGAAAAGTTGTGATGGGCCATAGAGGACCATCTGCATTTCTATAAGCTACATGTACCACGATAAAATTATGTCTAAATTGAACCAAGTGTATGGGATTGTGTATAATTATGTAAATTTAGAACCTGGAATACCAACAAACACTCATTATGATTACTTAAAGATAATTACTATAAACTTCATTCAGTTGACAATTTGTACAAGGACACATTTATGGTAGTGATACTGCAATGCACATTTGGGAGATGTGTATAGACATGATGCACAACTTGTACTTTGCATAATGTACTTGAGCTACAAGTCAGAAGTTACAAAAGAATAATAAAGAACCCAGCAAAATGAGAATGGTAATAACACAAAGTCATGTGATAGTAAGCATCATTGTCACTGGTATAAATCATGTTCACAATAAAAGCTGTAAAAGAAATCCAGATCGCTATACATCTAAATGATCAAATACTGAGATCTACATGAAAGCGTGACTAAGGAATGAGAGCACTCAAAGTATACTAATAGGTTAAAAGACAATCTTGAAGAATGCAGAATGAGCAGGTACAACAATTACCGAAATTGATATCATTAGGAAAAATCACTGCTAGTTTCATGCAGCAACAGTTTGATACTCACCCACTTAAAGCAGATGTTGGCTGAATAAAATAATCGAGATGTCCAGTGCTGGGAGAGTCATCCTGGAAGAAATTTTTTATTGCTTCTGCTCCCTGACAACCCTTTCAAAGCAATAAATTGTAATAAATGGAGACACTAGGTTAAAATTTTCATTTTTTTAAATGTACATGTAGAAGCTACACATAGTATTGCAATCAGCAATTTATACACTTTAATACCCAACACCAAATTATGTTGAATACAACATTGGGTCAAGCCATATTGGTATCATGATCAAGCTACATGCAACACCCTAAATACATTATGTTGTATTTGTTCTGGTTTAACTTTGACTTTTGTTTTGCTTAATCAAGAAAGGGTACACGCCTCCAACTGCAAGTACACCACACTGTAGTAGGAGTATAAAAACAAAGCAAAAAAACAAGGAACCACAAATACTGGGGGAACTATAACAAACATGAACTTGTACTCAAGGAACTCTAACATACTCTACATAGAGCATTCCAGTTATATGTATGGTAAAGGCTGATAGTTTCGAAAGAAACTGTTTGGGGCTGCGTTGGTGGGACGTAAAAATCTTGAACAAAAGCTCATCTTTCAAACTGGCAGTCTAAATTCCACAGGGATCAACGAACGCTTTTCATTCCACTAATTTATTCTTGTTTTTCTCGTTGCCATGTTCCCACCAATAACGTAGCTCCATTTTCTGCTTTTAAAAGCACACACAACCCACAATTCCTCTATTCACTCCGACGAAGGGCTAACGCTTGAAATGTCACCTTTTGTAATCATTACGGCGGCCAATTTACCATTTCATATTTATGGTAATATGGGTAATTGTTTGACAAACCTCCAGATCTTGTTTGTTCACAAGAATTAGCAAAGGAATTCCTTGTAATTGAGGATCTTGAACCACCTTGTCTGCAAAAAGAAATAATTTAAGCTTTGTTACTTTAGACTTGGAGAATTTGTTAGTGAGTGAACAAAAATTGCATGCACAAAGAAAGGATCACAGTAGGTGATAGCAGGCCAAAAATAAAATATTCCAAAAGAAATGTGAATGTGAACACTCACTAAAAGCCTGATGAGATTCCTCCATTCTCGTCTCATCAGTGGAATCAATAACAAAGATAACACCATGGCATTCTTCATAATACTAGCAGTTAATGAGAAATCATACAATTGATATTGAGGTTCAAATGCTTAATATATAATTATAACATAATTGCAAAAAGTCAAGAAAATGCATATTGTGTAATTTTCCATGGATTTTCTCTACATCTCTTTCACACAGAACAGTATGACTTATGCAAGTTCATGTCTTCCAAGACCTACAGCACATGGCATAAAAGTAGCCCTCTTGATTAATTTAATAACAGAAAGTTACATTGAAAATACCAGTTACTTAAAAAAACATGTAAACAAAGGATCAAAAGAGTGACAGCTACAATAAATTCTTTAATGAGGCCACACCAATCATGCATAAGTGAGAGTATTTCTTGGATTTTAAATACATGTACATTTGTATTCCTTGTAAAGGAAATGCATATACAGTGTGGTTATACCATTTTAGCCTTTATTATAATTGTTAACAATCTTTTACTGATAGAGTGGGTACACTATAGGTAAGTGGGATCAATGTTACTATAAGTAGTGTCGGCCGACATGGCAACCGACATGTTGGTCGACAGTCGGAAAATGAGTTGACATGTCGACCGATAATCGGTCGACATATCGTTAGACAGTCGGTTGATATTTGACTGACACTCGGCCGACACTCGGCCGATGCTTCACCGATACTTCACTGACACTTAATCATATACCTGAAAGTTTATGCCTTCAAATCAAATTTTTCAATACCGACACTGCAACAATACACAACCACACAAGTGACATTCAAACTATATTTACCAATAAAGTTCAGACACTTGATCGATAGACTACCGACACTCGGGCTGATAGACCACTGACACTTGACCGATATTCCACCGAAACTTGACCGATATTCCACCGAGACGCGACACTCCATCTGTCGGTTGACATATTGACCGACATGTCGACCGACTATCCTCCGACTATCGACTGACTATCGACCGACTATTGACCAAATGTCAATTGACATGTCGGTCGCCACTACCTATAGTAAAATTGATCCGGTAAGTGGGCTCATTCACCATGAATCAAGTGAGTTACATGAGGTATACCTTATCCCATAAGGATTGTAGCTCTTGCTGACCTCCAAGATCCCAAAATATCAACTTCACATGATTTATGTTTATTTTTCCAACTGCTCACAGAAGAAAACAAGAGTTCCAAATGTTATGTACATTATCATTGAACTTCAGAATCTGGTTGATCAATGAACATAGGTTTGGTATGTACATCTAACATTAAAAGACCCAGTTCCAAAGCAGCTGACGCTTGTAGTCAAACAGAGTTCTGAGGGGTTGTACTGAAAGTGATGTGCATATTTCACTAAATTCACATCAAATGTCAGTATCTCTTTTTTCACTGTTTTCAGAAGGAAAGGTAACTCACTATTGAGTCCAACAGTCGTTGTGATCTTCTCAAATGGTAGACCACTGTAGTTTTTGCCATACATTCGTTTTATCTGTTCAAGGAGAGTCTAAAAAATATAACAGCATAAATCAACAAAAACATCATCCAATTGGTTCACAGTGAACTTATTAGTAATCACCCTTTAAAATTCTTTAAGTAGTTTCATCATAGTTACTAAGTTTAGGATAGATGTTTTATGTATCTGATGAGTTTGAGGTGCCTATCTTTTAAGTTAACTAGTTTTAAAGGAGACAAAGTCTAACATTGGTTGACTATGATAGCTGGGTTCAGTTCTTCTGTTGATTACAGACTTGATCGATGACATGAAGAGCAAACCAAATTTTTCGTCTAGCCTTAACTAAATGCTCTTCACTACTTCTTTTTTTTCTCCAAAAAACAAGACTCCACCATACTTGAAGAATTTCTTAGTAACTTGCACTAACAGAGCTTTCCACTGGCAACAATGTGATCATAAATAGAAATTTTTCCAGTTTCCTTATCAGCTTTGCTGAGTTAAGATACATGGATATTCACGAATAACTAAACCCACAACAGAAGTATGTTTCATGATAATCATACTCGGATCCACCTCTCATGGATTTCATTTTGTACTTATTTAAACATTCACAGTACAACCTAACATCAGTATGCCAACCATTCTCTATACATTTCCTAGGTGCAGACAAGGAGAATTGATTTTAACATTCAAGATCTTTAGATAGTATACTGATCATTTCCTTTATTCTTGTGACTTTGAGGCTTGATTCAGCCCTCAAAAGGTTAACAGCTGGTAACAAACTTCTGATACCTTCTTTATCTTTTTTTTCATTTTCTGTGTGACCAAGACAGCAGTGTTTGAATTTGTTTGACTAGGTGTAACTGAAAGTACAAACCCATCCATGTACAATTTGCAGTATGCATTTTCATATGTTCTATACTTATTCTCAGTTTAAGGTTACTTTCTACCTTCAGAGGCCAAAAAAATCATTTTTTTTCTTTTGGACTAGATTGAAATTAGACATTTTAACTAACGTTTACAGAAAAAAAAATTTAAAAATCTCAAAAAGTGTCTGACTTATTTAGAAAAACGTATTTTCAAATAAAAGTTACTAAATCAGGAAGGTGTCATAATCTCGTAAATAGGCAAACCCCCGGGGGAATGTTCGCGGCAATTTCATGTTGTTTGAATATTTTGTTTACATCGCGCACTTGACAAAATTCACATGTGGAAGTTATCTGCTCGTGGAAAGTCTTTTCTAAAAATTAGAGAGGAGTCCTTGGGTAAAAAAAAAGAAAAACTAACGGGCCCAAAGAAGAGAGAAATGGTAGCATTTTGTCAAAAAAAAAAAAAAAAAAAGTCCTTGCTGAAAGTGACAAAGGCTCTTGGTTTGGCCAGGAGCCTTTGACGGCGGCATCTGCTGAAAATTGGCATCGTTTGATTATCCTTCAGGCTAGCAGCTTAAAAATTAAAGTCAACACCACAGCGGGTTGTAAACAAGATTCTTCATCAGAATCTGACGAAACTGATGGAGAAAAAGAAGAATGCAACAGATTTACTCTTTCTGCCGCAGGTTTTTCCTTCGCTGACTTTGTCTATTACTAAACGAACAACAGGGCAAGATAAAAAAACGTGACTGCTATGCGATACTTTTCGTGGGAAAATCTTGATCCATTGTCATTAATGCCAGGAGGCCTCGTCTTCTCATTGGTTTGCAATTTCAGGAGGCGAGATAATCTCCTGGTGTGGCGCTAGTTGGTTACAAACCTTTAGGAGCTAAAATCTTGCATTTGATTTTGAGAGGAATACATCCATTTTGAGCGAATTTATAGGGTATGTAGATTTCACCGATTTTCGTGAAATTTCGCCAAAATATTCTTGGAATGATGACGAAAAAGTGTGTCAGGAAATTTTGATATTTGAAATATCTTTTACGTGGTGTCCATTTACGCAACACGCTTCACATATTTTTCGCTACTCTAACTTTAGATGCAAATATCTAGACAACCAATCAGAATATTGGAAAAGCCTGACACGCTTTTGTTGATTGATGCCTTGTGAATGAGACAGTGCAGCCATTTTTCTCATGCTGCGGGATCCAATACCCGATAAATTCAATAGAAGGACCCTCGGTCGTTTCACGCCTTACCGGCTCCTGACACTTCCTAAATGAAAAAGTTGCCTAAATTATATCTTCACCGTAAACTGCATTTATTAAGCTTTGTTTTGATGTCTAGTTTGTTAGGGTTTTCTTCAAACTAGTGCGCGTACGAATTTTTTCCTGAAGGACAACTGCGAAGGTAGAAAGTAACCTTAAGACACCAGACATTCAAAATAGTTTTGAGGTTAAATACATGTTGATGGCTTAATTAAGGTTACTTCCCACAAAATCTGGTCAAAAGTTTCAAAATTTAATTTTTTTTGCTCTTTAGTCAAAATTGTCGAAAGAAACAAATACAAAATCTTAAAAAAGAATGCAAGATATGGCTGAAAGAGTGTTTTGGGGCAATTGGTACCATGTGGTGAAAGGTGTGATAATACAGCAGTCTCTAACAGAATGTTGACATTTTTGCAGACTTTTGTCTAGGATCTTGATTTGTGTATTTATTTACAATTGTGAACTGCACTCATAAAAGACATAAATTGGTCACACTCCCCATTTGAAACATTGAAAAATAAGAGTCTTCATGAATTGGTAAAAGAGAGATGTCACTTTGTGGCAAATCTAACAAAAAGCCAGATCCAAAGAAATTGAAAGCAGAAGTGTTAATGCACTAAAGAATATGGAGCTTTATTAAAATTTAAATATTAATTTTTTCCGGTGCCTTCTCAGTGCACAACAACAACTAAAGTACATGTATTTTCTATTGATTTTTTCTATTGATTTTCTCTGGAACCTATAAGAAAATCGAGAAAGCCTCACACCACTTTTAAGCCTATTATCTCCTAAGCAATACAGTCCAGTTTGTTTAGATGTCAATGGTAATGCGAAGGCTGGTAATTAAGTTAAACAAACACTGTCAGTTTTGTCTTTAAAGGCTTGTGCATGCCAACCAAAACAAAAACTGCCAAAACTATTGTTACTTTCAGAGATATACAATTTTCTTAGGTTTCTGTTTAAGGTATGTGCCTAGGATGGTTTTTTTCCCAAGGATACCCCATTTTGTAGATGGTAACCTTAACTCAGCTGGTAAAATAGACTGATGTCATTAAGATGTTGGTGTAATTATTAAATTAAAGCAGTTGTCCAAAGTTTGCAATTTAAAATTTCCACAATCATTATTAATTAGGCCTTGTCAAAATGCAATATAGTAGAAGTAGATTAATCACCTCTTGAGCTCGCTGTGCACGTGATACCAGAGAGGCATTCATTGCACAATTATATAATTTTTACCCTTGGGCGAACATACATGTAGATAAACGTGGAAAATCTAACCATTATTAATCAGACAGATGAACAAAACACCGTGTTCATAGTTAATAAGCAGTAAACGTGTCTTTCCATGATTTCAAGTCACTTCAGAAATAGGGAAAATTTTTTATTGTTCTTGCTTAGTAGACTGTAGATCTAAAGGTTTAAAAAATTACCAGAATAACTCACCGACTTCCCAGCATTGTCCAAGCCAAGAATTAGAATACAATATTCGTCTTTCTGGAAAAGGTATTTCCATAGCCCAGAAAACAACGCAAACATAATACAAAACCAAAACAATTTCACACTACATGCATGTACAGCTGTTGTCGAAAGCTGACATTTACAAAAAATGTAAGCACATTTCTCTCCAAAATGCCCACTGGAGCAAATAATTGCTGAACGTAGAATCCTTCCCGAGTATTTCCCTAGTATATGAGCCAAAAACAGAAGACGGGGTAATTCACTCTAAACACCGACGTTTTCGTGCTGAGTGTGTCTCGCGCTGAAATATCGTAGAAGCCATATTGGATTTTTACTGAAAGAGATCTGAGAACTACAGTTGCGACTTACTCATGTCCATGATAAGAGTACCGCAGACCGTGCAGGCGCGTACGGATCTCATGGAAAAGCGCGAAACTGGGACATATATCTTTCCGTGTGTTGCTCAATTTTGGTGGTAAATGGTAACTAGAAATTACCATCTTTATCAAAGGTAAGCTGATAGCTAAATACTGTTCAGAAATCGTAGGCTGTTCGTAATCAGGAAGGCTTGTGGTGTCTATACACTGTGCCTATATTTCTGAGCATGGCACGCAAGCTCACCGAGCTTCTTCGGTTTATCACTTCGATCATTTTGGAGTGATCCCTGGACTCAAGAGAAAGGATCTGAATCCACCATGTGCACATGAATTAATCACCTGAGGGATGAATTATTATTTGAGAGATTATCATGGATAATATATGTGAGTTTGTTACGGGTGAATACGAAATTAAACGAATGGTCAGGTTGTGTCGTGCTTTTCCTCCGGCTCGTGGTTGAAGTGAAAAGTGTTGGTAAGATTTTTGAGAACATACATGAGGTAGGATTTAAACTGAACATCTGTGTTTGTCTGTCTCTGTCTTCTGGTTCGCCTACTACGCTGGTTAGAGAGCCCGGCTGCGGGAGATTTCATATTATTATTATTTTTTTTTTTTTTGCTTTGTACGGGACACTTGTATGATGGTCAAATGTCTCTGATGGTCAAATGTGCGTGACGGTCGAACGTGGCGTTCGACCGTCACGCGCATTTGGCGATCGCACATTGACTTGCCGTCACAAGTAACGCCTTCCGGAAATGTCACGTTTCTGTCACGGGAAATAATCGTATTTCCACAACAGAACCTTTTTAAGCGAATTTATTCTATATTCGACACGGATTTATCAGTTAGCTGTGTCAAATTTTAGCCTAGGTCTTGATTGTTTTAGTTTGTAAAGGCGCAAGCCCGAATCGGTTTCTGGTAATGGTCAATTTCGCAAACTGGTGCGCATTCGTTTGATTAGTAGGTCGCTTTAGCCCCTAAGATTAGTCGGTAATCAAAAGGCGGCGGGAGTTTTCGTCAAGGCAATCTTTGGCATGCATTCTACAATTCTGAGAGGCGTTTCAAAAGATATAGTCCCGGTAGTGCATTAGAGAAGAAACAGAAAACCGCGCACTTTAGACAATTATAATGACGTCACAAACGTCTCGACCAGTAGTAACTCATTTTAAGCTTTGCAAAAACTCAACGAGTTACTCGCAGAAATATGTAGACTCCGAGCGGAAAATACCTCTTGAGCGTTGCATTTGTGGCCCAAGATTATTTCTTAAACATGAAGAAAATGACCATGAGTCCAAGGGGAAAAGAACGATTGGAGGCCACCCAGCAACTCGGCTGTTTTCCTCGAAATGGAGATAAGTTTAGAAACTCACCCGGATCTTCCAGGGAAAATGGCGATGGAGATGCCTTAAGGAAGACTGCCAAAGATGTTTTCGACGAAAAAGAGAGAGAACTTGTAGAGATTCGAAGCTACTGGCAGGAAGAGTATAAAGTCAAGGTTGGCGAGGTCTCAAATCTTGAAGCTGCTCTTAAGGAAGCTGTTGAATCGCGAAACACCGAGGTCGAAGAACTCAGAATGTACTACGAAAATACCATACGTGTCCAGAATAGTGAGATTTCCGAGCTGAGGCGGACTTTAGATGAACTTATGGCGACCAAAGAGGAGATTCTTGCCTCTGCAGAAAAATCAACGGAAAGCAGGTTACGCGCAAAAGACGCAGAAGTGATGAGGTTGAGAATCTGGCTCGAGGAGGCAAAAAAGTCCAATGCTCAGGGAAGGGAGGTTTTGCATTCTTACCAAGGAAGGCTGCGGGATAAGGAAATGCAGATCGAAGAACTTAAAGAGTCAAACGGGGAGACTGTCAAGGCTCTGGAACAGGAGTTGGAAAAACTAAAAGCGATTTTGTCAGAGATTATAGAAGAAAAATATGAAGACAATGAAAGTTCAAAGCGCACCCTCGATAGCGTGATAAAAGAAAAGGAAAAGCAGATGGATATGATTAAAGAATCGTCGAATAATGTTATCACGATTAAAGTTGAAGAAAACGAACGTAAAGAAAAAGACATTCAACGCCTACAAGCAGAGTTATCCGGTAAAGAAGCAGAAGTTGTCATGTTAAGAGATGCTGTTACAAAATTGCAAAGCACGATAGCAGAACACAAGAACGAGCGGAAGAAACTGAGAGAAGCTTTACGGTCCGCTTCTGAATCAAGAAACATTGAGATGGATGTCGTTCATAAATGTCAGCAGCAACTTATAGAGCAGAAAGGAAAGCAGTTGATATCAACAGAAATGTTAATAAAAGAAAAGGACAGACGCATAGGGGAATTGTCTGCTAAAGTCGGGTTAATCGAGGCGCAGTTAGCAAGTGAGCTGTCTCAGAAAAGAAACGATAGAGAAATCAATTCAGACACACCTTTGATGATGAAAAAGATGAATGAACTAAATGAAAAACAAGTGTTATCAGATGATGCTCGTGCCAAGGAATACAAAATTAGTGACCTTCAAAAAAGGCTTAAGATTGAATCTCAGGAGAAAGAACTCTTGCAGCAGGAATGTGATTCCCTGAATCAAGACCTTGATAACTGGAGATGTGCAATGAAGCTGATAGAAGAGGAGAGAAATTCCCTCGAGAATGAAGTGAAACGAGTCGTAAGCGAGCTGGAGGGTAAAAGCAGCGCTTGTTGCGAGCTTGAATCCAAGTTGCAGTCGTTAGAATCTGTTCGAAAGAATCTCGAAGACGTGATTGGCCAGCTTCGTAAAGAAAACGCGGATTCCTGTCAAGGAAAAAAAAGTCTGGAATTTGTTATCCGGGAGAGAGATCAAGAAAATAACATGTTAAAGGAAAAATTGAATATTTCTGAGAGGAAATTTGCTTTGGAAATGGAGCATAGAGCTGTAAAAGAGCGTAATAATGTGGACATGATAGAAGATTTGGAAAAAAGATTTGAAGAAACTCAGGATGAGAATGAGAAGCTAAAGATCAACCTTGATGAGCGAGAAAAAGACGTAGCTAACTTAAGCAGCTTGCTAGAAGATGCAAAAGAGCAAGAACACAAACTGGTTGCAGAGCTGGATCAACTATCTGAAGAGCTGGAAATTCTAAAGGTAAAGTATGGACAGGGGAACGCTGATAAAGAGGCGTTAGAGAGGTCGTTAACAAATTCTGTATCCCTGAAACAAAAAGATCTTGAAACATTGCAAGAACAATTTGAGAAAAGTAGTAAGGGTTGGCAAAAAGAGTTAGAGAAGCGTGACCAATGTTGGAAAGAAGCCCTGAGAGCCAAGGATAATCTTCTGAAAGATGTGAAAGCATCCTTTGACGAAACGGCTAAGTGTAAAGAGGAAGAAATTAAAGAGCTTCAGAAATCATTGCAAGAAGCAAAAGTAGAGTTCTGCTCAGTGAAAGAAGCATTGGAAAAAAGGCTGAAATTGAGAGAGGAGGAAATTTATTTTCTTGAGAAGACATTTGAAGGAAGTTTACGGGAAAAAGAAGAAAAGCTTGCGGGAATTCTAACTGATAACGAGGACATACTAGAAAAAAGCGACGAAAAGGAGAAAGAAATGGAAAAATCTAAGGCCGAGATGGACAAACTTACTGAATTAATGCGACTAAACGAACAGGAACTTACTGAAAACAAGCAAAGAATGGCAGAACTTGAAGTTAAATTAAGAGAGAAAGAAGAGTTGTTAGAGAATGCTGAAACCGAAAACAGAGAACTGCACTCCCACTTAAACATTGAGGAAGAAAACCACGTTGTAGAAATAAAGAATGTAATTCAGTCGGCCGAAGAAGGATTTAGAGAAAGGGAAAATGTCGCGGAAAGGATGAAGGCCATAATACAGGAAAACGCTGTGAAATATCGTCTAGCTGCACGGAAAAAGGATGATACGATTTTAGGTTTAAAGAGTATGTTGGAAAGTCTAGAAAAAGACACAGCAGACATGCGAGTCAATTTAGCCACCATTATCCAAGAAACAAGTGATAACGAAGCGAAACTAAAACACGACTTGAAAATACTTGGTAACGAAAAAATGTCTCTAGAAAGCAGGTTGTCTGAGCTGACAAAATCTTTGGAGAGGCGTGATGAAGAATTAAAGCTACATGAAGATGAACAACAGAGGGTCCTAGATGCGTTGACACGCGAGAGACTCAGTTTGAAAGAATCACAAGAGAATTATCTATCGCTAAAAAGGGAAGCAGAACAAAAAGAGCAAACTCTGCGACAAACAACGGAAAAGTGTGAGGAGTTGGGACGAGAGTTGGAAGATTTCAATCAAGTCAAGTCTTTGCTGCAGTCAACAGAAAGAGAAAAAACTTTAGCGGAGGAAGGGAAACAAGATCTTATTCAAGAGTTACATATGTTGAAGCGAAAGTCTGATGCAAAAGACGGTCAAAACAGTATTTTGTTACAAAAGGTTAAGATGCTCAAAAAGAACCATTTCGAAACAGCTCAAAAGCAGGAAAAGTTGGAGGAAAATGTGGTTACTTTGCAGATTAAGCTAAATGAGAGAGAGACCGAGATAAATGAGTTAGAAAAATATCAAGCAAACGCAGAAGAGGAATCTACCCGGCAGCTGGAGCTTCTGGAAGAAATTAGACTAAGAAAGGATGAAGTGGAAGAACAGATGAAAGAACTTAAGGAATTAGTAAATGCACAGAAAGTAGAAATAGAGGGCGCAAAACAGAGGGAGGATGAGCTGAAACAAGCTATTCAAGAGCTAATGAGAAGTTTAGAGGAAAACGAGCTTAACACCATAGCGCTCGTTTCAAATGTCAAAGAAGGAAAAGCCGAGAATGAAAGAATCTGCTCAGAATACGACAACTTCAAGACATCTGCACTGACTAAGCAAGACCGTATGCAGAAGGAGTTAGATCATTTACACACTAAACTGGACAGACATGAAGAATTGCTCGTTCTGCTAAAGAACGAGAAGGAAAACTTGATATCAGAGCTTGGCAAGGCCAGACAAGCCGATGACAACAGCAGAGCAACTTTTGAATATTATGTTGTAAATCTGAAAGGAGAGAACGAGAGCCTTTCACAAAATATTGCGTCTTTAAATGAAGAATTGAAGGTCAGAGTCGCAGAGATTTCAGAGCTTAACGCTGCCTTGACTTCTACAAATGTTTCAAAAGAATTTCTGATGCAGGAAATTAAGAATTTGAAAGTTTCTTCCTCGGCTAAAGACGCGAGCTTGTGTGAGGCTCACAAATCGCTGGAGGCTATACAGAAGGAGGAAAACTCCCTGAAACATGAGGTAAAGAGTTTGGAGGCTAGGTTAAACCGTGAAATAAGCGAGAAGAATAATTTGATACAGAATTTCGAAGAAGTTAAAAGTACCACTATACAATTAAAGCAAAAAATGGACGACGTGCTCTTGGAAAAGGAGAACATGATAAAAAGTTTGGAGAAAATGATACTTCGAATTAAACAAGAAAACGAAATTCTTAAGGCGCGTCTCATGAAGTGCGATGCCGAACTGAAGGCTGACAAGAAATGTGTTGCAGGTCTTTTGGAAAAGCGACATGAAATGAGTGCTCAAATTGAATCGCTGAGAAAGGATAAAGAAATCTTGTCAGTCTCTCTCAAAGACATGGATATGCTTCCAGTAAAACTCAAGACTACTCAAGGTAGGCAAACGTTGCAAGTATTGCAGATTATTATACATTATTAAAAACTGGATCATTGGATAATGCAATTCAAGACTTTTTATTGGCTTAGCCATTATGGTATATCAGCCAATATACCATGATCTACAAATATGGTAAGCGTACGTCTCAGCTTAAAATTAAAAGAGAGCTAAAAATTTTAATAAATTTAATAATTTAATTTAACGTTTTTAATAAAACAATTATTCCACTCGCGCTTGTTGGATATGAGATGATTATAGCCAACTCGGCGCTACGCGCTACGCGCCTCGTTGGCTATCTATCATCTCATATCCGACAAGCGCGAGTGGAATAATTGTTAATTAGACTTACAATGAAGAATATTATTGGTCGAGAGCATTTAATCAATAGACAATAGCGTATGAATTTGACATGATAAATACAGTATCTGCAGCGGATATTGTATTTTGCATGTCACATTCAAAGGCTGCCAAGCCCCTTGTTCGTGCAGTGTTCTCAAACTATTTCAAACTCAGAGGGAAGTGTTTCTTTTGCAGATTGTTAAAAAAAATGTATTATCAAACTATTCGTGAAGTTGGCTTTTTTCATGCTATGAATTGCCTGAGACTTCTTGTCTTTGTTATCTACCTCAGCCTTCGGCCTCGACAGATAACTCAGACCTCGGTTTTGATCATTCATGATATCATGGTCAACCTCATCCAATAATTGCTTATTATTGTATAGCTGGCAACACCTTGGGCAATATGAAGCGAATCCTATGTTCTGATCGGCCCTCCTTGTCCTCTCGGGATTACCCGCTTTGATCCCGCACAAGAAAAAAGGGCGGGGAGTGGAATCAAGAATTTCGTAACTTTTGTACAGTATCGATGATGAAGTCGCAAAAAACGGTTGAAGACCGTGACAGTCAAAATGACCCTCGTTGGTTTGTAGTGCTACAAACGCAGTTGGCTTTCTTTCCAGGCTCTCGAAATAAACAAGTCATTCTTAATAATAATTCTATATTGACCAAGCGTGAGGTCAGGATGGCTGGATATTAGCCTTGTTCCTTTTTTTGAGTTTTTATGGATCTCGACTTCGTCTCGCTTTGTGAAAACGAAAACAAACTCGGCCAATATCAGGCTACTTTGACACCACGCTTGCTCAATTACCCATATTTATCGCGGCGAACGTACGATTAGGGAGAGGTTCGTGCTCTAAAGTTTCGAAACATGAATTCATTTATGAGCAAACTCCCACACTTTCGGCGTTGCAGATTTTTGAGACATCCCATAGGCCTGTTGTATATTCACTGTGTATCCTTCTATGATCTACACATAACTTTTTTCTCTAATCTGTATTGTAAAAAATCATGGGCACAAGTATACCTGTTTTAGAATAAATTTACAGGTTACCTATATTTCTCATCGTTATCACTTTTTTAGAATCCTTATGCAAGACGAAAGATCTGCTGAAAGTTCTAAAAGAAGAGTTGAAAGAAAAGACGGAAGAGAGGAACTACCTGTCAAAAACTGTTCGTGATTTGGCGTCCACGAATGGCGAGGTATATAAATCAAAGATAAAATGGTTATTCATTGTATTTTGATTAAGAGGTACAGTCAGGCATCCATTAAGCAGGCCTCCGTTTACGGTTACCCATCAAATTTCTGGAATTCACTTTTCATACTCACTGGAAATTAGACCTCCTTTAAACGCAGGGCTCGGCACTAACTTTTCAACTTACTAGCCAAGTGGCCAGTGACAATTTAAATATTACAATAATTTCAGTTTGTTTAATAGCCAAACTGGCCAGTGGAAATCGAAAACCACAAGCCAAAACAGAACTTCTACTAGTCTGTGGCTAGTTGGCTACCGTTAGTGTCGAGCCCAGAAACGGTCACTTATGTCATTTAAGCGGACGCGGTTACCTTCTGTGACCAAACCTGGGGCTAATTCTATTGTTATCTGCCTCTGTTAACTCTATGACTCCGAAGAGCGACCTGCATCTAATTTCTCCTTACAATATCACCCCATATCGGGCTCATTAAAGTCACGCCGGAGAATAAGGAAAGCAACACCGAGAAAAGAAGCTCTTGATTGGTAAACAGATTCTCCTTGTGAAAGTGTAGTGTGATCGTCCGGTTGAGTGTAGTCCTGAGAAGGACTGTTGTCGGTGGTAGTGACTGACGTTTCGACAACCTGTGCGGAAGTCATCATCAGCGTCAAGTGAATAGTTGTTGTCAGTAGCAGAATATTCCTATTTCAGTTCGTGTAAAATGATTGGTCAGTCTTGCCGTGATGTTATTGGCTGTAAGACTCAAGTGGCGTAAGTCGGTCGTGATTGCTCTGTTTTGATCCGTCGATAAAGTTAGGTGGTTCTGTTCGGTTCGTTTGTAATGTTTATCTCGTGAATGAGTCGTTTGTAGGACACCTGTTTAGGGGAGTCTGTTCTAAGTTAGTAAACCAGCTTTGCAAAGTCAATCGTTGAAAGTAGTCAGTGCTTTAGGTTAGGCATTGCGGAGAGTCCCAGTCATTATTGTGGTTCGTAAGTCGATGATGTTCAGCAATGTGATTGTTGACATCACCTTTCCTCGTCGCCCGTCTGTGTTCAGTCAGTCTTGTTGTGAGGTTTCTGCCAGTCTCACCGATGTAGGAG